AAAACAATAACAATAAACTGATTATTGCCACTGATTCATTGGATAATCCCTCCACGCAAATCAAAAATGCCAAAATAAAAGATTTCTTTTGTTTCGAATTTGATTAATTTTTATTGCCAAAACGTATATTTGCAAATAAAAATGTTCGAATTTTCAAAGTACCACATTTTCTGTTAGGTATGAATATGAATAATTATAAACACGATAAAGACCGGTTTAAAATCTGGAAAAAATGTTTTTTCAACTATAAATAAATAAATAAAATAAAATAAAATAAATAAATTTTTAAACAATAAATAAATATTTTTATAGTTGTTTAAAGACGAGCCATATCACTAAGCCAAATGGTAAAAATGTTTTAAAACATCTTACGCCTATGTATGGCACAAGATATGTAAGCCTTATAAGACTCCTAAAAGATAGCACATCCTAAGAACTCGTGGTCCATTAAGAGCAGTTCAAGAATTGTGACCTAATGGTCAGTAAAAAAAACAAAGTACGGGACGACCATTGAGACCATTTGATACCGATTAGCTAGGTTAACAACGTCTGGCCACGGAGCTACATAAGTGGGGTTTCGTCTCTGACATTGAGACGTCAAATTTCGCGCTAAAACGCATTGTTGTTAACTGGCTTTCGGTATATGTACATATGTGCAATATAGAGACGGCTACTGAGAAAGTGATGATGCAACTAGTTGTCCGGTTTTATGGAGGGGAAATTCGATTATGCTCGCTTACTACGTACAACCACTTTGGAAATCAAAAAGTGCTTTGATTGCGTTATTTTCCTTCACTACATGCAAATTTGGCAACCGCATTGGTAAATCGGATCGGGGAATTGGAAATCAGCGGATTGAAAAATTCTGTGCGGGTCCATTCACAATGTTTTATGTATTTATTTAGCGCTTTCAGATAGGTACATATGTGCATGACTTATTGTTAAGCGGATGTCACGGAATAGGCCGAAGATATGGAACTACGGACTGCAAACAGTAATCACGATGAAGGGCACGCAATATAGTATACTTTGCTATCACTTTCACAGAAATCGTTAATTGTAAACATTAGTATTGCGCCGAACCAGTAAAAATGTTTTCTTTGTTCGTGCTCATCAGTATGTACATAGGTATATTATGAGGAATATGTATGTCGCACTGTGTGCGCATTGCAATGAAGTCACCTTAATAAATTCCTTCAGTTAATTAAATTACACGGTTTTATGCTTTAGGTGCGCACCAAGAGCGTTCTTTCTATCTTCACAATACAATTTGGATGCTAAAACTTTCGAGTGGAGGTATATAGACGAGCATATACCCTCAACAAGAATCCGATCTCGGAGCTACTAGACCTCGGTCCCAAAACAGGAGAGAGTGAAAACTAACTGAAATATACAATTAAAACGTAAACACTCCCACTGACTGCTTATCAGACTTAATGGCCAAACAATCGATGGCTGCCGTCGATATGCAGTGATTGGGAATGCATGTTCGGAACATGGAAATGGAACACTCAAAGAATTCAGCGAATAATTTAATACATTATTTATGCATATAAAGTTTAAATAAAATTTAATTTAAATTAAACTTAATTATGCTTATTGTCAAATACATAAATAAGTTTCAAGTTGTATTACTCACCTTGCAGACTGTAATTGTCGGCTAAACAAACGTGTATAGCCAGGTATAAAATGGTACTGAAATAATTTTAATTACAATTACTAAACTTCCAATAAAAATGAAATAATTATTTGAAAAAATAAATACTAGAATCCCCAACAGCTTGTATGCCATAGCCTACAATGTTCTATTTCACTGTTCCAATAATGGTGGCAAGCCCGAATTCTTCATCGACTTTCGATATACAGTTTGTTTGTTTCACCCGGCGTGCCATAACTAACTATCGGGCATTTCTACTTGTCATCATTGAGCTCAGCGGATTGCATTTCAAAAGTCATGGTGAAGTGTTTATTGCGAATACTTGTGTGCCAATTGAATTTGTTACTAACTCACCGCATTGATTTCAGTTTCGCAACCAGTACGATAGCGATGTTACGGTGTGGAGTCCGCAGGGACGTCTCCACCAGGTGGAGTACGCAATGGAGGCCGTGAAACTGGGAACCGCAACCGTGGGCCTGAAAAATAAAGAAAACGCTGTACTCGTCGCCCTGTGCAAGCCAACATCGGAGCTGTCGGCCACCCAGCGCAAGATCATTCCCATCGACGATCACCTGGGTATTTCCATTGCTGGCCTCACGGCTGATGCCCGCGTCCTAAGCCGGTACTTGCGCTCCGAGTGCCTAAACTACAAGCACTCGTACGACTTAACCTATCCGGTCTCCCGGCTGATCACAAACCTGGGCAACAAAATGCAGACCACCACTCAGCGCTACGATCGCCGTCCGTATGGTGTTGGTCTATTGGTCGCCGGTTACGATGAAAGGGGTCCGCACATTTATCAGGTCACGCCATCGGCGACCTTTTTCAATTGCAAGGCCAATTCGATTGGATCGCGTTCACAAAGCGCACGCACCTATCTGGAGAAAAATCTGAAAAAGTTCCCGGACTGCTCCAAAGATGAAATCATTTGCCACGGCATTCTGGCTATTCTCGGTACCGTGCCCACGGATGAGCATCAAAGCAAAGAGAATGCCCAGTTTGTAAGTTTATTGAACATTTGGCGTCGTTCATAAGTAGTTAATTGCGTTTCTTGCAGAACATCACTGTGGCCATCGCCGGCAAGAACCAGCCATTCAAAATTCTCACTGATAAAGAGAATGCCCAATATCTTAATATGGCAAAGGAGATGGGCGCTCCGGCTGCTCCGCCAAGGAACGACGATGACGGTGACCACCCATCCCCGCCAGAGGATCCACCAGCCGGACCACGCGACCCAGAAGTCCTCGTTGCAACCGAGCAGCGTCCTTAGGTATTTGTAGGGGTATGAAACCATCTTAACCATTGAAAATGTAAGATTGAAGGATACAATAAAATTGTTCATGCATTTGAATAGATTCTAAAACGGAAGAAAGTGCCTATTGCATTTGGATAGGTAGTTAATATATGCCAAACAATTGCTTGGAATTGTAAGCTATTATACTCACTCGGGGAAATAAATACGAAATTGTATTTAAATTTTAAACTTTCTTGTATTGGCGGTATTTATTATTGTTTGTGGGTATATTTATTCCTAACTTAATGGGGTTTTTCCAAGTTCACAGTGCGGTCACACTGATGGCTTAAAAATATTCCTAAATGCCGGTACTAATTTCTTCTTTAAAACAATGTTGATTGATTTTAGTGAATGACAAGATAACATCTAAAATGATATTTATACCAAAGAGAATATGTCGAGGGAGCGTCAACTTGAATATATTTTTCCACACTTGACATACAATTAATTACATAACGGAATTGCTAGCAAATGATCTATTAAAAATAAGAAAAAAACATGGTTTTCTAATAATAAAATAAAACGATTTGTGCGTTTAATGAGGTGCGCGTAAATATGCGCTTTTAAACATTAGTAATTCTTGTTAAAAATAGTTCGATACAAAAATGTACCATTGTTTACATTAGGAACACTCGTTTTGGATGGTAGAACCTCACATTTGATCAACAGGTCTTGTTTTATATGGTTTTTTGCCCCAAAAAAAGGAAAACACGTAATTAAAATTTGTTACGTCCTCGGCTTTTGCAGACAAGATGACTTTACCCGATCTTATAGCTGGTCTTTCGTCGAATCCCTACTTTGGGGCTGGTTTCGGACTGTTTGGAGTGGGTGCTGCTGCTGCTATATTGCGGAAGGGCCTCCAGGGCGGATTAATTCTGTTCCGGCGGCACTGCATGATAACCCTGGAGGTGCCGTGCCGCGACAAATCCTATCAGTGGCTGTTGAAATGGATAACCATCAGAGGGGCCCGGAAAACGCAGCACCTTAGCGTGGAGACGAACTTTGTGCAGAACGACAATGGTACGATTAAAACCAGCTATGACTTCATACCCAGCATAGGCAAGCATCTGTTCCAGTATAAGGGCAACTGGATTCAGGTGGAGCGCACCAGGGAGCAACAGACATTGGACCTTCACATGGGTGTTCCATGGGAAACAGTAACGCTGACAGCGTTTGGCAACAATAAGGGTATATATTTTGACATCCTAGAAGAGGCTAGGCAACTGGCCCTAGAAGCCACAGAAGGCAAAACCGTGCTCTATACAGCGATGGGCGCGGAATGGAGACCCTTTGGGCATCCCCGCAGAAGACGTCCCACTGGATCGGTGGTGCTGGACCGCGGAACTTCGGAAAGAATCATTGCCGACTGCCAGGACTTTATTAAGAGCTCCCTGTGGTACACGCAACGCGGAATCCCCTATCGAAGAGGCTACCTCCTTTATGGACCTCCTGGTTGTGGCAAATCTAGCTTTATAACTGCCCTGGCGGGCGAACTAGAGTACAGCGTCTGCCTGTTAAATCTATCCGAAAGAGGCCTCACAGATGATCGACTCAATCACCTCCTGAATGTGGCGCCAGAACAGAGTATCATTCTGCTGGAGGATATTGACGCAGCATTCGTCTCGCGAGAAGCTACTCCGCAGCAGAAATCCGCCTTTGACGGCCTCAACAGGATTACATTCAGTGGACTCCTAAATTGTTTGGATGGAGTGGGCTCCACGGAAGCCAGAATTGTCTTCATGACCACAAATTACATTGACCGCCTGGATCCCGCCTTAGTTCGTCCTGGTAGGATCGATTTAAAGGAATACATTGGCTATTGTACGCAATATCAGCTGGAGGAGATGTTCAAAAACTTCTTTGCCAACAGTGACACCATAACAGCCGAGGAGTTCGGAAAGCGAGTGAATTCCTTTGGACGCTCTGCAAGTCCGGCGCAAATTCAAGGCTTTTTTATGAAGCACAAACTGTCCTCCCCGCAAAGTGTTATTGATTCTTGCGAAGATATCTGGGAAAATGTTTTAGATCATAATAAAAAAAATAATTGAATAGTTGTGGATTTTGTTTACTTTAAGCTCTTTGAGACAAGACTGATATCTAGTTTGGGTCTTATGCAATAAAAACATCTTTCAACATACTGTCATCGATAGTAGTTTATGTCTATGTTTTCAAATTTATTTCATTTTGCAATGATTTAATATTATCCATTCTTTTTTATGCACAGTCGCATGAGTAATTCCCAATCGAACTCACCTAAATGAAGGTCTTGTTTTATATTATGATTTAATTACATTTTTATAGGTAATTTAAAAATATGAACTATGTTCTAAAATATATGTATATTTTATGTGACATTAAGTTTGATTAGTCCTTTGATCTTCTGGGCCTTCCGACCTTTCCTTTCCTTTGTCCAAGCGTTCCATTCGTGTTGGCGGGGCCCTTAAGTAATTTGTGCCAATCTTGCTCACACACCAAGCTAGCTCCTAACATAGTATACCTAAAAAAATGCATTTGAATTTCAAAATGGGTCTTCATGAATGGGTCGTATGAACTATGTAGACTTTGTTGATATGCATACCTATCACCAGGACGCAGACTGGATCCACACTTAGCACAACTAAAGCACCTTAGATGAAATACGCAATTAATTATTTGTTTTTGTTGATTTTGTAAATCGATATTATTTATTCCAGTAAGTGCTTTCGCTACCAGTTCACTTGGCGGTATAGTTTCCCCGCAACCAGAACAAACTCCGGAGCACCCGAACATGCTGGAATAGAAATATAGCATATTTAATTAGTTTCAATGTATTAGACACTAGAAAGGAGTCACTACATTTTTCTGCCGATAAGTAGGCAACATGTTTTCAAGACGGATTGCTAGATTGCGGTCGTTAGATTTCCTACCTGGAATAGTCCTTCTTGCAAAGAATCAGGCCTCGCCTCGTAAAACAGCTGGAACCCACTTCTGCTAGCATAGCTCCACAACAGTGACATTTAAGGCAGCCATTGTGCCAGTATCTGTCCAAAGCGTATAAAAGATATCTATCACTTATTTTATCTGCAAGCGAATAAGAGAACAGTAGTACGTTAAGTTATTGCAGCTCATAGATGGATAGGATGGATAGGCAATCAATTAGGTAACAATTGAGAGAACCTTGAAGAAGCTTACCTCCACAACCACCACACACTTTAATAAGGGAGTTGGAATGAATTAACTGCTGATTATTGAAATCGTTTGAAGATTCGTCCATGAACGATAGCTGAGACGATGAGATATTCGAGTTGGTCTCCACAATGTCCTTTGTGTGGTTTGAGTTTCTATAGTCGATTACTATGGGGGCGAAGTTCTCAGGACTAGATGAGTCTTGGTGATGTGCCGCTAGTATATCTCTGTATGAATGGAACGTTGCATTCATTGCAAATAATGTTGATGACTTAAGTCGTAGAAGGCATATGGGTCCTGTTTATGGTTTAAGCCTGAAAAATGCAAAAAAAAACGTTTATTGACAGAGGGAAATAATGCAAAATATTTACAAAATCACCTTTAAAAATGTACAAAAATGAAGCTTAGTCGTGGAACTCCATAATTGCCGTGTTTCTACCATAAACCCAACGCATTAACCACATACAAATATCTAAAACAAGTTTAAAATAATCAATTAATTTTTAATCAACTGTTGGACTATAAAACTAAATAAAAAGTTGTTTTATATCTCTTTTTATACATAACCAGGCTGATTTTGAAAAAAAATTCGAACTTCCATTCAGAATTTTCACAAGAAGTTAATAAAATATTTATTTTATCAATCGATGACAGAACGTGCTTTTCAGGCAATTTCTTGCCGTTTGCGGATGCAAAAAAAAGTAAAGACAATAAGCAAAACAAATTACTTCTGGAATTTTAGATCCGATCCAATTTGAAATTATTTTTGAATCATTGCATTCTGCACAGCTGTCATTACATACAAATAGATTATATACGCACATATGTATGTATGTACATAAGTAAAACACCCAAATGAGCATACATACATACACACACTAGCAGTGAACGCTTGCTATGTACGTATATGTGTGTATCAAACTGCGGTCTTAAGCCGATAGATTAATCAATATTTAATGTTTGTAATTTACACTATTCATTGCCAAGAACTAAAACTCCGCTGGCAAACTTGACGTTTATGCACAGAAATACTGTTTTGCTTTCAATTTCACATTTTAACAAGATTTTGTATACTTATATATGCTGGTATTTGTTTCACTTAATCACTCGACCAAAAGCCGTTCTTGTAAACAATAAACACATTTTTAACTTACACACTCATCAATTAATTATTTAATAGCGAAAATTTCTTCGACAACACCATGAGGAACAGTAAAATCGCTTCGGTTTCAAACACCATTTCTTGTATACGACTTTACATACCAAACTAATTCATAGATATGAAAGCAAGCAATCCGCGATTATATAGGGTGCATCGTGCACACTTACACATTTTAATCGTTCATTTCAGTTATTTGGCTGTAAAATATCGTATGCAGTGTTGACGGCTTGGATTTTTACCTTTAAGTAAAAGTTGACCACGACTAGAAAGAAAAAATATGTTTGTATTTAACTATGTAAATATAATATGCCAATGGTATTTCATAGGACATTTATCTATTTTACAACAAGTTATAATTAATAAAGTCGTATTGGTTATAGATTTATTTCCATTCCGGTGGGAAACGCCTGTATTTTCGTTCGTGCCTTACCTCAATAAAAGCTCATTTGATGCTTCACATCTAAATGGTATTAAAAATGTTTTCTTTATTATTTTTACATTACACCTATTGGGAATCTGTACGATTCTTAGAACAACGTTCGGTTTCAAGTAAGAATAAATGGAATCGAACAGTGTGGGAGAGACATCTAGAGGGCGCCAATTTTGCTAAAATTCCGCATTTCAGCGGAATGAATGGAACTTGTGACCGATATAAAACTCGATATCCCAAACCAAAAGCAGCTGACGTGTACAGCGAATAGCCAATCTTTGGGATGTTAAAAATCTGTTTATGTAGAGGGACAATGACACTCTCGTGGTAGTCATTTTGGTAGCTGATGACTTTATATACATTTTTATATGCTTGTACTAATCCCTCAAATCGCCGAATAGCCTTCTGCTCAATTGGTAATTATAGTAGCACTATTGGTAAACATCACATGAACGCAGATGATCTCGGTAACATCAAGAAAGTTGTTTTCAGAAGAGTATTGAACTGAGAACTGCTGAGCGAACGCGTTATATTGATTAGGTATTTTTTTTTTTGGGTGGTGCTACCTTTTAATAGTTTCCGAAGTACAGACGTTCAAACGGACGGACAAAAAGGACAATCGGATGGGCATAATTAGATTGACTTTGTTAGTTGTACCATTGGAAACAACCCATGTTGGGATGAGGTAAAGACTGGTTTAAGTATCTATTATCGGATTTATGCTACTTTTTTATTGACCCCGAAGTCGCTCTCTTTCTGTAATGACGTAATATAAATATAATGTGCCTCATAAGCGGACAACCTTTGGAGCCATATACTAATTTCTATTAATTTGACATATTTCAAGGACCAGAGCATCGATAACCCCGTTTAACTATAATGTTCTTCTATGGTACGACCTCTAATTTTCTTAAAACTGGGAGAAAATAAATAAAGGCATCAAATATAAAAGTATTTAAACAAATTATTTATTCAAATATGATAATTCTTATTTTAGGTTTTCTTGTAAAATAACAATTCCTTAACTTAACTATGGATTAAAATGTCTAAGAAGTTAAATCAATGGAAATTACTCGCCCAGTGCTGTTAAATGGCGGAGCCGCGGAAATTGCTTCAAACGTACTACTGTCAGTAGTCTGATTTGTAGTGCTCTTTTCCGAATTAGCCGAATGAGCATACCAGTCTGTGAGTGCGACCAAGTTCTTAGAGAAATTACAGTTTTCTTGATTGTATTCCTTTCTGTGACCTTGAGAATCGGAGAAAGTATTCGATGTACTCAGAGAACTAACCAATGAATGATTAGATATCGAGTCAACAGCGCAGCGACTATTTACAGAGTTAGCCTTATAGTTTGAAAAAATATATAAAGATTGCTGTAGGGGCTTAACAGTATTATCGACTACGGATTCTGGCTCAGGAGCACATTTGCTTGGCTCTATGGACCGCCTGCTAGACTTTCTGTTGTTATGCGTGAGTTTTATTATAGTAAGTGCATCCGAACCAAGTCTTTTTGGCGAGCCCATTGTTTGCTCTTGTTGCTCATCATCGTCAGAGGAGCATAAGTCAATTGTATCAACAACTACTTCCTTGGTAGGTGAAATCCTCCAGTGCGAGTTAAGCGAATTGTGGCGCGTTAGTCTTATATTTAGTTTTGTATTTGCAGTGGGATTTTGCTCTTCCATTACGTGTTCCGATATTTTTTTCAATCTGACTGATATTGGACGGCATTGCTTAATCAGCGGAGAGTTCAGAAACAAAAAGTTCTCAGTAGTGTCCCTGCGCTTAACAAATTGACGTCGCGGAAAGGAATATATATGGTAGTTATGTTCATGCGACTTTTTAAATGTACAATGCACGGTATGGTTTGATTTTTTCTCGAAATACTTTGGCCTGGTATTTGATTTTATGATCAATGGTGTGTAACAAAACCGATCTAGGCGTTCCTGTCTTTCCGAAATATATTCCATAGATATTGTTTGTTTTGTTGATTTCAACAATTGCTGTCCTGCAGGTGATGATATTGGGATAAACGAACACCTACTAAACGAATGAACTGTTCGATTTCTCCGTGATGGTAAACGCCTTTTTCTGTTTGATGTTTCCGTTGATGTTTCTTCGCTGAATGAAAATGTTTTCTGTTTTTCTTTAGATAAACTGTTATCAGTGAATTTGGATTGCAGGTTAAAGTTTAAAAGAAAGGCATTGCGCAGTTCGATATCTTCGTTTTTCCCGTCACATTTATTATCTGGCTCAGGGGAATCACAAAGTATAACGTCATCTTCCATGCAACAAATATTTTCGTGTTCCTGTTATGCAGAAATAAGTTAGGACCGAAGTATTATTAAATATTAGGTTTGGCAAGGTAATCAACTTACGAGTATAGCTTCTTTAGAATAAAGTTCGGCATCACAGTTGTCGCATAGATATATATCAAAAGGAGGTGGCTCAACCATCATATGTTGTAAGCTTTCGCTAATGGAACTGCTGTTCTTTTGTAGCAACAAGCATTTTCTATTTTTTTGTTGTCTATCATATGACTGTAAAATATACAAAAAATATTCGTTGCACATCAAATTAGAAAGAACACATATAAATTATTTAAAGAAATAAGAAAGTACTTACCATGTTTTCATTTCGAAAGGTAACCAACAGTTTGTTGTTTCTCCTGTCATACAATGAAGTTGTTGAGTTATAATTGTTTATAAATCTCAAGCTCGCGTGTTCATACGCAGCTAAGTCATTACAAAATCTTAATAGAAATAAGCTTTTGTGAAATTGATAGCATATAACCACAATTTCTTTCATTTTCTCCATCCAATTCTGTAAAAGAGATTCAAGTATTAGTATTAGAATTATAACTTTTTTGGGGTGAATATCAATTAAAAGCCCTAAAAATAAATAGGTATAGGAAAATAAAAGCTTACCCCAACAAATGCTTTCGGCTTTTTGAGCGGAATTTCGAAAGGCGCGCTTTCGGGCCACCATTCTGGTTCACTGCAATCTATTTTCTTTGGTAAGTTAATGTGTCCTAAAGAGCATTGCACCATGAAGGGAATAAAATTTTCTAACTGGGACTCCGTTATTTTTTCTAGGGATGTTGGATATCCGTTTGCAAACAAAAGCGGTAGGTTGGATATCATGTTGTGTTGAGCTTTATCCTTTTCATCCATTGTCACTAAAAGTGAATTAAAATGATATTTATATTTCCAAGATGTTCTAAGCCGTTTAAAAAGATTATTTAGAAATGTATTTCCTATTTTCCAACAAATTTTTACGCGGTAGCAAGTAGACTTAAAAATCCAAAACTACTAAACTTTCTATAAACCCAAACGATTTGGATATTTTATAGGAACTCGTCAAGTATAACGTGCAGTATATCGTCGAGATCAATACCGAATACAGTGAGGGGTGAGTTATAAACACACACCTTAAAAACTTTGTTAGCGTGTAATGTCCAAGTTAATGATGTCGAGTTGATATTGTCATATCCGTCTGTCCGTCCGTATGTGTCCGTATAAACGTCAAGACCTCGGGTACTTAAAACCTAGAAAGATTAGAACTAAACATGCAGAAAGCCACGCCCACTCTAACACCCAAAAACTGTTACGCCCCTAAATATACCAAAACGCGACCGCCATGAATAGATCGAATTCTCTAGAGATCATGATCCCAGGTGTACCTAGTTTAAAGACTCCACAAAATTACTTTTCTGCAGGACCAATTGAACAACGGTCACATTTAGAAGTGGGGAGCGATAACCTCAAAATGGCGAAGATTTAGACTGTCCAATCGATAAAAGTATCGAAGGATTTTTTTTGCCACTATACGTACCTTGAAATTTTGATTGATTAGGTACTATGTATCATACATAAAGTGTACAAATAAGGTACGGTAATATGTTTAAACTTTTTTCTTCATAAAAGACTAGTTTCGCCAGAGGCGTTGCCACACTGTTTTAGAACAAAAGCGAGTGGTTACGCCTAGGGATTTCATAAAATGAACATGAATTGGATTGTTTCCACTTACAGGTTTATGCGCTTTCGCTTCTCGAATGCGAACTATGCTGTTAGAAAGACTTATATATTCGTGTGGCAAGCCACAACCAGCGTTTCACTTTTGGCAAAAGGGGCAGCTCATAAGTCTTGCGTCTAACTGCAGATTTCCTTACTGAAAAACCACGAATGGCTCTCATATGTGTACATGTACTCATACGAACACACACGTACCAACACACATATGTATACCAAGGGAAGTGGAATAAGTTTGCAAATAAAATTTTTACTGCATAACTTGGGACATTTTCATACGTAAACACACACACACAAGCACTTCAAGATAATTATAAAAAAACACAAATAGTCATATGTTAAATGGAGTCATCAAAATTATGCTGTGGTATAAATATCCCACCTGATTTAGACGAGTGTATGTAATACACGCAACGAAAATTACTATGTTCAGCATCATTTAAAATATAATTTATATAGTACACACTTATACGTTTAACTGGTTGATAACGAACATTTCAACACCGATTTTATATGGCAATACATTAAACTCAGAGCACTGAAATGCTCAATGCTCTCTGCATATACATATCACTGAGTAAATCAAATCCATTAGAAAGGAGTCTCAAGAACCAATCAAAATAGAACATCCATCGGTACGCACCAAAAATTCGCAATGATTAACAAAACGGTAGACACCGAGATCTACAATCACAAATATGATAACATAGTTACAATACACAACACT